TCACGCTTTGTGTCAGCGTTTTCTAACCACGAAGATTATTAAGAGGGCTCTGTGATAGTTGTAAACAACTGTTTGTACTCTTTATTTTGCGATCTGTTTGAAGTTCCGACATTTAATAGTTGCTCAGAAATCTTTTATCTTTTATAACTTTTAGATGGGTAAAAAAATGTTATTGTTATGGAAATTGACAATGATTTGTATGTGTTTGTATGAGTGACGCCATGATACCGACTTGTATAAGAGCCCCGAGGTCCATCCAGGGCTCTACCGACGATGTCACGCGTCAGACCAGGTCAATTGTGCAGGTATTATATTAATTTTTATTTAAAATAAGTAAATACATATTAAACACAGCGCACAAAAACATTTTGTTATTATTCCTTGTGTCTTTATCGAACTTTGATATATTTTCTAGCTCACCATCACTGAGCCAATGGGGTCAAGCGTGGTGGCAGAGGCGTTACCGCCGCTCGTCTCTATTAAAAGCTCGACCTCAATTAGCTTCCGCGCTGTGCTTTAAGCTTCCACCTATACTGGAACTGCTGCGTAACGTAAACAAACCAAAGAAAATATCATTTGTTACTCATTTGTATTTATCCACGTCACGTTTTTTTCAATACGTGGACTATAATACATTGTATGCTGTAAATATTTTTAGAAGAATTTTCTCTATGGTCAATTTTAAACAAGAATGAATTTAAACTACATGAAAAGGCATTAAAATTAAACTTTGTATCCTATAAATACTATAAACTGGAAAGATTGGATTGTTTATTAGTTAGAATTCAATAGCCTACGAAATTACTGAACTGATTTGAAAAATTCGTTGACTGTTGGGAAGCTACACTATCCTTGATTGACCTAGATACACAGAAACTTTAATACTAGATATCTTTTTAACTAAGTTAAATCCGCGCGGACGAAGTCAGGAGCACAAGCTAGTATTACACATAGAATAACTGACTTATAAGACATAGGCAGCAACAAATTTTCAAACAAGATGAAAGTTAGGGGACAAAGGCAAAAGTTGTTAAATGCCATAGACAACTAACAACATTTCAAAGTAATTAAGAGAGAATCGGTTCCGCAGCAAACATAGGAATGTAACAGGAGGACCAGAGAATGTTGACAGACACACGACCGGATGTCGTAGTGACAGAATTTATCTATGGCTTTCTAAAAACAGTGGAGACGCTTACAAGGATACTCATATTAACTTCAAAATATTTTTTCAGCTTTAATATGTGGTTTTGTTTAGAACTTTAATGCTTTTCTGTTGAATTTATCTACAAATCTTGCAATTAAAGCTTTAACAAATTTTATCTAATATCCCAACTGTTAAGTGGCGTAATATCTCTAAGAACTAAAAGTCCTACATCTCTTAAAACTATTCTGAACAAAGTTCCTTGTATAAATAAATATTAATTCAGTCAATTAACAAAATTACTTAGAAGCATTTTGTGTTCCAATAATTACCTCTCGGACATGCAGATTTATCGTATCGTTTAATCAACATTTGCCATACACGAGTCGCAAATGAATCTCACCCAAGTTCGACCCGGGGTCAAAGACATGCAAATGACTCCATTGCCCGTCATCTCGTACGCTATTAGTCTAGATTGGGCCAATTGGCAACACCAAATTGTTATCTTTGTAATTACATTACGAACCAGATAAAGACACAATTAATAAAAAAAATTGCGTTTTATTTTACAGACATAAATAAAAGAAGAAAGGTGAAATAACATAGTGAGGAAAAAGTTTGAAATCCACAGATTAAATATAATTAATCCAAATAGAGATTCAAGGAATAATTCTGGCCTGTATTGTAATGATCTTTGTTCGAAAAACAATAAATTAAACTCAAGTATAGTTCGAGGCTCTTTATCAAAGCTCTTATGGTTGTAATGCCGTTCTGAATATTACACGCAAGTGCTCTTATTCCAAAGCCATTGTCATGGTCGTTAAAGCATACCGACGTTACGACCTAGAGACGTTTGAGATCGGTACTGATAAAGAATAAGGTTACAAGCTTCCAGCGCCCAGCTCTGAGAGTCCAGTGCTCTACTGAGATTATAATATAGAAATAATTTAACTTTTCAAATAGTTTACGATCTATGGATCTACGTGTTTTTTTAATCTTTTTAATTTTCTTAGAGTGCGAAAAATTAGTTATCAGTAAAGTTAAAAAATCTTTTTCCTATTGAGACAAAAGTAGTATTCTAAAAATTATTTAAAATGTAATCAAATGAATAAACATTCTAATCGACAACAATAAAAAATGTTTAAAAAGTCTTTACAGATTTTTTCACAGGAAGGGATCTACCCGATGTAGTCGACTAGAGCGATAAAAATGTCCCGCTCCAAAAGATTTATTACAATCGAAACCCATTCGAAGTTGATTTGAATAAACAGCACGATAGTAACAGATAAAGGTTGGATAGAGATGACTCGAACCAATTCAATGCATGTTCCGATTATTCTATTAACATGTTCGATCACTAGATAACATCTACATGTATTTTAATAAGCCTTTTACGATGTATAAATTGTATAACTATGCATACAATACACGAAAACGATGCGTCAAAGATTAAGGGTCCAATATTGGAACGTAAATGAATATCACAAAGTAAACCAGTAATGATTCGACAGAAATGAGAAATAATATTTACTCATTTATTACCTGACAATTTCATTTATTATGGTTTTAAATTTTCATTTGAATTCTATTTTATCTAAAAAATAAATCAAATATCCAGTCTGTTTCCTTAATCCTTGATATGATAAGAAGTGTCTTTTTCCTCTAAATCCTGTAAATATTTCTAATCTTGTACCAAAATCTCTTCATTGATCTAAAGTAATGGGACTAAATTAAAAATTCCATTAGTACATAGAGTTCATTGCTTTACACAGTTCTCGAATCCCGATTAGATTCCCTCTGGGTTCTCCAATTAGCTGGAGATGTAGGATTAAAAATCCATTTGCGAATAAGAAGGCTGGTGCCTATCGTCTGAGTGGCTCAGGCGACGGAATGTCGCGCGACACATGTCCCCATTCTTCAGAGAATTAGTTCAAATATGGCTTAATTCTTTTATAAAATCGTTTGTTTAATAACATATTAGCTTGTTATTTTTACATAAAAAAATCATATAAGTAGAATTAGTATTTTGATCATGAATATTTTTTTTAATCACCTCACTGAAGTTTTATGTCTAATTTGTTTAAGAAAAAAATTTTCTACAGGATTAAAAATCAAACAAAAAGCATATGCAGGACATACATCACATTCTTGTATTTTATCGCGTAGTAAGTGCAATAAAATGTATACCAGAAATGGCGTGAATAATCTATAGGAAGCGATCTGGGACCCATAGTGACCATTTCCGCGTATCAATTCACGTAAGTCTGTCAGTTATCTTCCATTAGGCAGGAGTAGCCTCGCTCGAACGATTATGGACTTTATGATGACCTCATTGTTAGGAACACCGACGATAACTTAAAATGTGCCATGAATAATCCCGGTGCTTTAGTAGCGATAACAATGCCTGTAATATTAAATCTTCTTTCGTTTTTCAGTGAATCAGAATTTCCAAGGAACAGGATGGGATACAGTCATCAGACAAACATGTTAGCATATCCGATTGATCCTGTTTACATGGTCTCATACCATGCATTATCAATATATCATTACAAGCATACATTAAGGGTTACCTGTAGTGTCATTTAACAATTTTGAACAGTTATTAAATCCATTTTTATATCATCATCATCAGCTCACTATACGTCCCCAATAAATAGACACATAGGAAGGGGAATATTTTTTTTCAGTGCATTCCAACATCTGTTAATTAAAGGTAGGCCACACATCTGCAATTGCAAATATGTTTGGGCTGCGGTCGCCGCTTATTTGCCACCTTACACTATAAAAATTAAGTATTGGAACCTACTTTTCTGAATATGTTAACAATAATTTAATGGGTGATAACGTGAACATAAAACGATTCTCATGCTCACCGTTTCAATATAAGCATGCGTCTCGTCGTAAAATTTTTAGTGGTCGTTTCGCATCTCACAGCTCCATCAAAACCTTATCTACATCTCTTTGTGAGTCAACAAGCGCCGAGAGATTTTCTCACAAATGATCCGCGAACTTTGTTGCTTATCTACAACCAATAAAACCTTGTCCTTCTTGAATTGAAAAAGTATCTTGACATCTTTTTTATAAGGCTCTTCCGTCATAATTAATTATCTATGTGTTATTTACTATATCTTTATTTAAAGTTTATTTGGATCTGAATGTCACTTTCCAAACCATATGTGACCAATGAATTTCCTAATCAAAGGCGTACTTCATTCACATTACAAGTCTAGTTTACATTTGCAAGCATCCAGCATTTATAGCTGAGCGAGGATCCAATCCGGTCAGCATTGCATACACATTTTAAATACTTCGTTTGTCTGTAATTACGTGTTTATTATTATCATTTTTAATTACTTTGTTGTGTTTTTTTCTCTTAATCCTAATTGTGTTGTAGTGGTGGTAAGATTTAATTTTATTTTATTTTATCTTATTTTATTATATTTTATTTTATTTGCAAGATGCTCCAAAGTTATTTGAATGTAAGCTTAAATGGTACATATTATATGACTCGTAAATTCATGCTATTAAATTTTTCATTGCGTGATGTACGCTTGTCGTTACATGTCTTCTAAAGTTTTATACCTTATCTTCCTTTATAAATATACAAGAATCTATATTTTAAATAGTAATCCATATTTTATCAAAGATCTTATAGTTAAAAAACTATCAGTCAGTCATTCTTTAACACAATCCAATACATAAATTAAGAAAATATAATTTTCTTTCCATATTGTAGGATTATTTGTGATTAAGCCAAATTTTCATAAATAATCACTGTTGTGCAGATAATAATATACGTCAGTTGGATGAAAACAATAGAAATAATCATTTACCTAATACCCTCTTCCTTCAACAGATCTACACGGACTGGGCGAATCATTATTTGGAAAGAGCTCGTTCGCGGCGTCGCGCAGGGACCTCTGGTGGCGGGCTGGCGCGAGACTGCGCAGACGGTCTACTGCTGGCAGACGTGTTGGAGGGAGTTA